CAATTCGATACACAATGGGGGCTCTGCAAGATATAATGACTTGAGTTATATTGAAGTATACAACTTTTACTATTCATTTATGTTATTATTAGGTAGAAAAACATGATCCTTTTGGCGGGGTATGTAGCTATCTACAAAATATAAATTATGATTATATGCAGTTTAGTTTACTGAAAACATAGTTTTAATAAATTAGTGACAAACAATAGTTTTATTTGTGGTTCGTTTTGCTAGAATATTTTCAAGGTAAATTAAATGAATAAGCGGAAGATTGATAATGTGGATGCCAATGTGGTTTCTCATTCTTCCAAAATTACACGAGTAACTGATACTACACGATATTTGTGGTTTCTCATTCTTCCAACGTACGAGAAGGGTGAGAAAATGAAAGCTCTTCACTTTTTTTTTTATTAATTGAAATATATTTGCAAATTTTAACTTCTTCTTTTGTGTCCTTCAAAATTTTAACTTCTTTGTCACTTTGTGTGCTAAAAAATTAATAATATCTTAGTTTATATCTTAAATGGTGGATTCGATACATAATTATAAATCAATAAAGAAAGTACTACAGAGAGCTCATTTAATAAAATTAATTTTTCATAAATAAATGAAAGATATAAAAATGTGAAACAATATATGAAATTTGGTAAGTGAGATTAACAATTCAATGTATAATAGTTTAACATAATGAATTATAAATAAAATTATAATATTAGGACGAAAAATATAATAACCAATCAAAATTTGCCGCCCAATGGGCGGGTATAAAGCTAGTATATATATATATCCATACCTCGTCAATCACCACCAACCTAATTTAACATAATTAATATTTATATAAAATAATAACAATAATTTCCCCTAATCCACCCCACTTACGGCACAGAATCCTTCTCGTTAATCACTTCTCTCTCCAATTAACCTCCTTCAAAACTTCTCTTCCAATCCCAAAATTTACCGTCGAATACCCTCTCTCCCTCCTCTCCTTCACCATCTCTTCGTTCGTCTGCCGTCCGTCACCGGGAATTGGACTGCGCCGAGCCGTTCGCTCGTCAGTGTCGGGCCCCGTCCGCTCTCGCCGGCGATCCCGTCCGCTCTCGCCGGCGAGGCTCGCCGGCGAGAGCGGACGGGGCCCGACTCCGGCGAGCGGACGGGGTCCGTTGCTGACGAGCGGACGGTCTTTGTTCTGTAAAAGCTGTCGGATAAAACTGAGCTTATTTTATTCGCCGGTGGCGATCTAGAGCCGATTGTTTCCGATGGTGGTTCTGCTCCGGTGGTCTGAGGGTGATGGAAAGATTGTAAATTGGTGTGAAAGAATCTTTCGTTGGAAAAGAATCTAAACATATAGAAGAAGGCAAAAATGTCAATTTAATGTAAAATACGGGCGGCAAATAGTAAAAGACTGGGTGGTAAATAGCAACCCTCTAACGCAAACGAGAGGGCCATAAAGCATAGCCAGCTTTTATATACTAAAAGAATGGAAACAGGGAGGAGGGTATACAGTAGAGTTTGGCGCGACAGAGTTGCAACGGATGCTACTGAAGTATAGGTGGCAAGTGAAATCCAAATCCATGAATCCAATCCATTTAAGATGGATCCAAATCCAACTAAATTTATCCAAGTCCATTAGATTGGGTTAATTACAAGATTGGTCACTGTGTTTACTAAAAACTTTCATGTTTGGTCACCGAAAATATTTAATTTCATTCATGGTCACTGAGATTAGTTCAATAGTTCAAGTTTGGTCACTCTTTGTTAGTTTCCGTTAGTGTTTGCTGATGTGGCAGTCAACTCTTATGGTTGACCGTTAATGAGTGACGTGGCCATTAAAAATATTTAAATAATAAAGTTTAAACATTGACAGCCAACCAAAATTAGATAACCTTTCTGGCTTGACGATGGCATGCACAACTGCACCTATCCGCAGGGTTTCCCTAACGTAGGCATCCGACGATCGGAAAGATAGTTATCAGAACTGACCAAAACTGCCTGCCGGTCGCCGATTGCTCGTTGGAACAGGCTCAGCTGCCTAGTCGCTGTCGGGGCTAATTTCGGCGAAATCACCAGCTTCCTTCTAGGCTTGTCGTCGGAGACCGGCCGTAATCTCAAGTTGGACGTGGTTTATCCAATAGGGGGATACAGTCGTTGCGTTGAAGCAAGCGAAGAATTCGGTCAGCATTAGTGAATTCGATGAATTTCTCATAATTTCCCTTTCACTGTTTTCGTTATCCTCTTCTTCCTTTATTGATGGACGACACAGAGTTCATATAGCTGGCCAATTGGGTCGGAGATCAAACGCTTCTGTACCGCGTCGCCGAGAAAGCTGAACTATAGCGATCACTCGACCCGCCGTCTCTGGATAAAAACTCGAGATCCGCCGACGAGCAAAGGAGGAGAAAGAGCTTTGTTAACGAGCCGGTAATTGCGTTTGGCCCACCCAGTTCAACCGGAGAGCTCAATGTCAGCCAAAATTAGAAACCAAAATTAAATAACCTTTCTGGCTCGACGATGCCATAGTCTGTATGTTTTGATTTTTGCATTCTTCATAGGAGGGAATTTCGGTTGAGATTTTGGAGATTGGTGGTGGCAGACAAAAACACAGGCCAGTTAGAAATATATTAGGTTTTTAATTTATTTTTTAATAAATGCGTAATGAGGTGGAAATTTTGATAGACTAAATTTTATTTTTTATTATTTTTTAATAGCCACGTCACTAATTTAACGGTCAACTATGAAGGTTGACTGTCACATCAGCAAAATTTAACGGGGACTAACGGAGAGTGACCAAACTTGAACTATTAAACTAATTTTAGTGATATTCCCCTGTTCTTTGAAAAAAATTATCAAACATGCCTTTCTGTTAAAATTTCCAATGAAAAAATCATCAATCATGGTTGAACCAAGATTTAGACAACCCGACATCGGCAAATGGGAGCGAAAATGTCAGTTTTGTCTCCTGTTTTATTTTTCTGGGTCTCTTCAAAGTGAAATTATTTGAATTATTTGGCTATAAAAAATAACAAAAAAAATTCTTGAGTGAAATTATTAGGGATATTTTAGACATTTGTGCCGCCCAAACCAACGTTCGACCTTGATTAACGATTTTCGGATGAAAATTTAAACAAAATAGCATGTTTGATCATTTTTATAAAGTACAGGGGCATTTTGATATAAAAAATAGTAAAAGGACATGTTTGATAAAACGTCATAATAGAGGGGTATTACTATTCGTCGCCCTAAAATTCTTTATTCGTCTCCCTAACTAATTTACATGTTCTTAATTCATTAATTTGTCTTTCAAACACTTAAACACCTAAAAATTCCTTAAAAAACAATTTTGACGTAGCCAACAAAAATAAAAGAAACGAAAGAAATATTCAACGAAAAATAAATAAATAAAAGAAACGAAAATTTCCTGTGCAGCGGTGGCGTCTTCTCCTTTATCGACGGCGAGCGACGAGGGAAAATGAGGGGACCTTCCTCACGACTCCAACGACAGCAACAGCGGTGGCCGACTTGTTTCTTCTTCCTCCTTCCCTCTGATGGTCGAGTAGCAGCAGCGGGAACATATTCTATTTTATCTAAACAACAGCAACAGCCCCAAACCCATTTTCAACGAGCAGCCCTAATCTCAAATTAGTAAAAATGAATATATGCTCTGTAGCCAAACATTGGATCTATACGTTGTTTCATCTAATGAGGTTGTCGTCTTTCAGCTGTACTAATTTGCAAGCTTTAACTCTTTCCCCAAACTTGTCTTCTTGTTTGCTAGAACTATAGAGTCCTCCAATGAAACAGCAGCAGTGGAGATGGGGTTGGGGCTGGGTTTTCGGCGGTGGATGAGGGTTGGGTGGGGACAAAGGGAAAATATCTTGTTTGGCTAGGTTTAGAATTGAAATTGAGCTGAGGGGGTAAATATGTCAATTTGTTATGTTTTAGTGCGATACAATTTAAATCTCCGGATCACGAAGCAGCTCTTCTCCCCGTCTGTTGCTGCTCCGCCCATCGCCGCCCACCGGTTGAGGAAGGAGCGAGAAGGCCAGTCTCGAACCCTCTAGCTCTTCCCCCGTCGCCGCCTTTCGATTGACAAACGATTGAACCCCGCGGAGGAGAACCCAGCAGTAGCAGAGGTGGTTGGTGGGGGCGGGATTTGTTTCTCTCTCCTGTGTCCTCGATCGACGCAGCGGCAGGCCTGGCGGCGGAGATTTGGTGGACCAAGCAGCAGAGTAGACGCACAAGGAATCTCCAGGGCGAGAGGCGCAGCAAGGGGCTTGGCGGCGTCAATAGAGTGGAACGAGCAGCGAAGCAGCCTCCGCGAGGAATCCCCTCCAGACGATCGACAACAATGATTCCTAGGGCGACGTCAGTGATTTCTTTCTCGAGCGGCGGATGACAGCCAGCAGAGCAAAAAACCGGGATTAGGGAGACTTTAGAAAGTGAGGATAATATCGTCTGTTTGATTAATTTAGGGCGAAAATTTTAAAAAAATTAGGGCGTTAAATAGGAATCCAGTACTTATAAGTTATAACCCTACGTTATTTTATAATTGGCTCCTCATACTCTGAACGGAACCTAAACCACAACCTCCAAAATTCCTCTCCAATGAAACGACGATGAAGACGGATTAAGCCAGAGCCGTCGACAACATGCTAAGATAGTGGTTTGTGCACGACAAGTGCAAGCGAGACAGCCCACAAGCGTTGAATGCTGCTGCAGATATTATACAGTCCTTGGGAGAAGGAAAAAGAACCACTTCTCAAGAAAAAAACCAGAGTTAAATGCAATCTAACCTCATCTCATCTTCATCCACCATCATTTCCAAATAATGAGAAACAGCTTGTCAGCAGCTTCTCTTTCTCATTCATTACTCTTCCATAACAGAATTTCATTTTTTTTTGTGGTTTTCACATTACGAACCAAGCAAATACACTGAAACATTGACCACAATTCCAAGAGGTGATCCCTGTACATGTATATATATAGCCATGCCGAGTCTCGGCCATCTCAACATAGAGAGAAAGGCATAATAGCTTCTTTAGCAAACCCCACGAACCAGTACAGCTAAACACACGCTGCAAGAAAAAAGACAATGGCACAAAACAGAAACATGACCTTGGTATGCCTCACCGTGACCTCATTGGCTATCGCGGCAGCAACAGCAGCGACATTGCAGGACGCCGAGACTGAGTGTGCAGAGCACCTTACAGACCTTGCAGCTTGCATTCCGTATGTGAGTGGCACTGCCAAGAAGCCGACACCGGAGTGCTGCCAGGATGCCAAGAAGCTGAAGGACACAGAACCGAAATGCTTATGTGTTCTCATCAAAGAGAGCACCGACCCTTCCATGGGTCTTCCTATCAACACAACTCTCGCCCTTCAAATGCCTTCTGCGTGCAACATCGATGCCAAAGTCTCCAACTGCCCCAGTATGCCCGATTCCCCATAGTTAATGGCTATTTTCGTAACATGCCTAGTTGTAAACTTGTGTTCACCATGGTCTTGCTTTTTTGCAGCTCTCTTGAACATCTCTCCAGACTCGCAAGATGCAAAGATCTTCAAAGAAGCGGGAGATTCAGATTCCTCTTCTTCCACTGGCAGTTCAAGCTCCACAAAAGATTCCCCAGCGAGCTCTGCAACTACTTCGCCTTCTACATCCACTGATTCCAGCTCGAAAACTGATTCAAAGGCTTCTCCTACTACCAGCAGTAATGACGGCCAAAAGATGAAAGTGATACTTGGAGGGTGGATGTTGATGGCTCTTGCAGCCTCAATGTTCTTCTGAAGCTGAAACAGCAATCAGCTAGGCTCTTTCATCAGTTAGTAGTATTAAGGACTTGGGTTTAGAATGAAGCAGAGGAAGCATTGTCCTTCTGATCTATCTTAACTTGTTGCATTTGATCTCTCAGAATAATACCAAAATAATTCACATGCATATTTCTTCTGCCTTGAGATTCAGCAATAACACTACGGAGAACTACTTCCCTATCTACAAGGAAAAAGCTAGATTATCTGCACAATCTCTAAGCTGACTTCAGCAAAATGAGTTGGTTCCCCCTAACTAACAAATCACAGCAAGTCTATCAACGTTAGCCGAAGAATCCGTATATGTGCACTTCCAAAGGCTCGTGTTTCTTGGCATTTTCACTGAACTGAGCTTGGAGCTGAAGGTGGAGCACCTGTGGCCCTAACAACCCTACATTTGCAGAGTGGACAAAATGCCTTCAGCTTGAGCCATATATCCACACAGCTTGCATGGAACAAATGAGAACAAGGTAGCTCCTTCAGCTCGTCATCATCTCCATAACTCGCCAAGCAAATGCAACAAGCCTGTTAATAACAATTTTTTCCAGAAACACTGATGAGTGAAAAGACCAATTTGATAGAAATATGATTCAAAAAGATGAACTAAATCCAGAAGAACTTACAGCATCATCCCCTGAAAGATTTCGCTCCCTCTCGGTTCCTGCTCCCACAACTCCACCATCATGGGTTTCAGCTCCTCCATCAAGTTCCCCAGAAGAACTCCCCAATTTAAATTTGTAGGTTGGGAGGGCATCTATGGTTTCTGTCGGGGCTCCTGCAATTGGACTCAGAATACCTCTACAGCAGCATACTACCATTGCCTGTAGAACGAAAGGCCCAACATACTTGATGTAGCTAAAAACGATGAGTGCGATACAGTGGCTGCACAAAACACCCAATGTAACAGATTAACATCTAAATGATTTGGCTTAAACAGATAACCCAAACAAGAGCAAATGGAAAGCTGCAGCTAATTACTTGTATAATCCGGGAGCTTCATCAGATGCATCTTCAGTGAAGACCCAGTAATTGCCAACCATGAACCACGATGCATAAAACAGCTCCAGTGCTAGCTTAAATTGGTCAATCAGTCTACAGAGTCTGCCAATGCCATCACATAAATCTATCAGTCGAGCTGGAAAAACTAGATACAAAAAGCTGAAGAACTAGATCAAAGAAGGAACACCCAAAGGCTTACCTAGGATGGGGAAGAAAGCAATGCCTGAAAGCCACCGGAACACTAGCAGCACACCCGATTATATAACCGACAATCCAAGAAAACAGTGGGTTGGATGGACGTTCATGTCTCGACAAGATCAAGACAATGGTGGAGGCGATAATTAGGATGGCATTGTATGTTAGCTTGATAGAAACAATAATTTTGTAGTAGGAGAGCGAAGATGATGAATGTGCAGCAGAATTTGATGGGACAGCAGACGATGAGCATGGTTGAGGTGGTGCCTCGGTAGTGGGTGATCTTCCATGGGTTGAGTCCAGACCATGGAAAGGGCTAACAGTTGAGGATACTGGAGGAGTAACATTCCCCTGTTCCGGTATGTGAACAACTACGTGACCGGGACTTTCATGGCTTCCCTTCTCTCGCTCCATGGCAGGAAATCCCCCTGTGAAATGGGAAGACCATATTAGGCACAGAATCACCAATCATTCAACTGAAACTAAGTATTAGTTTTCCCAGCAACTAAAACCATACTAATTTCCTTCTATCGTAGCAAAATAACAAGGAATCAAGATCAACTCCTAGCCCTCAACCTTCTCTATTAAGTTGCACACTACGATTCTCACAAAAATTCAACTCTGATCGCTTGGAACTACCATCTTAACGAAATTGAAGAAGCAAACAAACCCTATCAAGAACCCTAATCAAGATCATAAAAGAACGAATCTTCCAACTGATAACAATCTTACTCCAAAAACAAAATCAAACCCATAATTCAATCCGAAGCCCCCTAGCTCCAGCCAGCTAAAATGCCCACGATCATCCCCACCTCCCACATCAAAATCCCCAAATTCATGAAAACCCACCAACAACAGCTCAACACAGTAAAACCCCTACCTAGAACCGCTTCTCCCGAGCTCAACCAGCAAAAAGGAAAGAAAAAACCCCACGAAAGGGGAACTCCAGAATCCGCAGCTCCGCCCGCCAAGAATGTCGCACGATGGAAGTAGGAAAAAAAGAAAGTAAACCCACCACTTTCTTTGTAGACGGCCCCAGCTGGGTTTCTCGGAGAAGACGGGTGACTTTGGGGGACTTGCTTAGGTAATTGTCCCTTCCTTTCTTTTCTTTTCGCCGTAAGAAGCTCGAAGCAGCGAGACTCGTCGTCGTCGTCGTCGCAGAGTGGGGAGCAGTAAAGAGTGAAGCAGTAAGAAGTAGTTGGGGAGTGGGGGAAGGTGAGGAGTCAATTTTGCGACTTCTTCCGAGGTCCGAGTCTAGATTATGATTTATGGCCAAAGAAAGTGGGAAATTAAATTGGGGGAATTTGGAAGAAGCTGTGGAAAAGGAAAAGGAGAGTGAAATCGAGAGAGACGGCAGAAAGGAAGAAAAATATTCGGGTTTTACTTTCTTAGCGCGCAAAGCCAATAAGGCCGCGTTTGCTTTTCCAATAATGCCGACTCAGGTGGTGATAATCAGAGTCAGACAAAGCTAAAAAGCGTTATTAACGATAAAATTTTGTTTTATGTTAATTTATTTAATTAATGAATTAGGAGTTGTCAACCCCTTCGACTTTCACTTGGATTTAGCTACAAAAAGTATATATCCTCTCCTCGTTCGGTGGAGTTGACGGAGTGTTCGTAAAATCAATGGTATTGTATTTGTGGTTCAATAAGAAAATCTATTTATTAGAGATCAAATTAATATAAAATTTATCGGTTTAAAACAGTTAAACCATTATTTAAGTACAAAAATTTTCTACAACTGACCTATTGGTGCATATTGTGTGCAATAAAGTTTGTAATTGATATTTTTGGTTAGTAGCATTTTTAAAAAGTGAGAAGCAATTTGATCATATTTTCTCCTTTAATAGCAACTGACGAAATTGTGTATGAAAATGTACGTTCCTTTCTTTTTATGACAGAGGGTGCATTTGTGCAAGAAGAATAGTATAGGGAATGTTTCTTAATTTGCAATAATCAGAGGTATAAAATACTACTACTTTCTGCTGCATTGCCAACTCATCTTGCCACTAAAAAACAGAACTAACCATATTTTCACATGTAAAAACAAAAACGGGAAATAATAGTATTATACTAAACCCTACCTTGGAGTTTTGTTTAATATGTAGTAAGTAAAACACCTTACATAGGCCAATTATTATGCACACAAATGCACTATCTTCAATTTGGTCCATAATTAGTTCTACAACTGTAACTGTAGCACCTACATTTGTATTGGCTCAAAATTGGGTGAGTAACAATGAGTAATCAAATCTGAACATTTCTTTTAAGTGACTGCAGATCTAAGGGTGGAGAATTAAATAAATTTATTTTTCCTAATTTTCTTAATTGGATCATATCTTCTTCATTCTAACTCGGATTTCAATTTTTTTTGCACAGATGGAACGAGTTCGTTGTGCTCTACAAAATGATATCCATTTTCAATATTTTTTGAGAAAAAACAAATTTCATCCCTCTCGTTACCAACTCCTACCATATGGTATCTCCTTTGTTGTTTAGTCATTTTCGGAAATTTTTGCACAAAAGGAACGATTTAATCATGATCTATTGGATTTCAAAATTTTCTAGGGGGAAAAATTTCAAACCTCTCGTTACCAAATCCATACTATACTATACCACCCTGGTATGAGGTGGTATTTTTCATACCATATGGTATGCTGTTATTTAATACCATGTGGTATTGACTGGTATTAAATAACAACATATGATATTGACTGATATTTTTCATACCATATGGTATGCTGTTATTTAATACCAGTCAATACCATATGGTATTGACTATACCATATGGTATAGACTGGTAATAACTCGCAAATTATTTTTGTTCCAAAAAATATCAAAGTGAATATCATTTTGAAGAGAACAATTAATCTGATCTAACTGTGCAAAAAAATTTAAATTCCGAGTTAAAACGAGTGAGAAATCGTCCGTTAAAGATTAAGGGAAAGAAAATTAATGATTTTTCCAGGAGTGAGAAGGAGACACTGAAGTGGCAGATTATTATTGGATTACTCACCACAAAATTACTCACCACAAAATTACTCACCACAAAGTTACTCACCGAATCTGCTCCCATTTGTATTATTCTTCATTCAAAGAAAAAGAGAAATAAAATATAGTATTATTTGTTCCTTTCCTTCTGTATAACTTCGTAGCTAGCTAGTAATTTGTTCCCTTATATCAAAATCCTTATACAACATAGGACTGCATACCTTAATAAGAAAAGGTTATATAAGTCCTGAATTTTCAGGAGTTTGAAACATGATACTATATCGTAAGTCATAATGAGTAAAACTTAGGGGTCGTTTGCTTGTTGGATTTGAAAAATGAGGATTTTGGCTCAAAAAAACCTTTGGATTTATGAGGGATTTGTACCATCATGGATTTGAAAAGTCTATTGTTTGCATGATAGATTTGATGATATAATTATGATGGATTTGCTATAAATATAACTAGCCATCAAGGATTTACAAATCCCACCCCAATATTTGGGATTTACAAGCCCGTGGGGTCCACGGATTTGGATACAAAAAAGGGAATAAATCCGTAGACCCCACGGATTTAACACCTGACAACAAACAGTGGACTTGGCTAAAATCCATCATGCTTGGGATTTGACTCCCAAATTCATAACCCAAATCCATCAAACAAACGACCCCTTAGGTTGTAATTCTCTAAATCAACATTTCATTAATTAAAGATTTACAAAAACTATATATCATAACCTAAATTTTTCACGAATACGATAAAATTAGTATAGTACATTTGGTTTCTCCATTTTACTAAAAACACATTGCATTTGGCTGTTTTCGTTTTCTCTTTGTATTTGACGGGGAATTTTCTTTTGTTTTTTGTAGAGAGAGAATTACAGCCAAGATGCTGAATCGCCTCGACGTCGTATTGGTATTACGACGTTGACAAACTTTGTCAATAGGTCATCCGGCCATTATTCACCTATGGATCATTTACATTTTAGGTAGTGACAAATGGGAAGTTCCATAGTTGACGACTTCCCCAAAGGCGAAAGAGTCAACCCATTATTATAGTTATATTTTTTGAAATAATTGCATAGTTTGATCTCGTCAATGTGGACTTGGGACTTCTCGACCGGTTTAATTAATTAATAAAGTCTAGTCGAGCATGCAGAACAAGAACAAAAACAATTATATATTTGTCACCAATTGGATAATTGTGTGACATATCACATATGTATATATGAAACCAATAGTATCTTAACAATATTATGAAGGTGGTGTATGTGTTATAAGTCTCACGATTTTATATTTGTTATTTTACTTTTCTTTAAATGTAGGGTTAATATATTTGTATGACCTAATTTTGACCAACATAAACATCCTGGCCAATTTTTTCGATCTATAACATCCTAGCCTAAACTATACATCAAAATAACTAAATTGGGCAAACCCGACGTTTGACCGTTAACTTGGACGGTCAAACGTGTTGACTAACAGTCAACGCGCCACATCACCGCCCAGTCAGCATAAAAAATGTTGAAAAATTCAAAAAAGACACATAATCTCATTATTTTAATTAAGTTAAAAATAAATATAAAAAGAAAAAACAATGAAAGAGATAAATGGTAATAGGTGAAAAAATTAATTTTTTAAGTGTTTTGTGCTGACTGGGCGATGATGTGACGCGTTGACCGTTAGTCAACATGTTTGACCGTCCAAGTTAATGGTCAAACATCGGGTTTGGCCAATTTAGTTATTTTGATGTATAGTTTGGACCAGGATGTTATAGATCAAAAAGATTGAACATGATGTTTATTTAGATCCATACAAATATATTAAGCTTAAATGTATTTAGTCGTAGTTTCTTATGATTCAAAGAGGACAATCTGACAGCAAGAAGGGAGATATAGAATATTGTTCAATTTCATACTTCTGATATTATTGATAATGAATTATAAATACATATTTGAAACTTTTTGGTCTCGCCTTTGCACTAACAAATTAATTCAACCGCTTAACTCCTATAAAGAAGCTAACACGACTAGCCTCCATGATCCCATGCTATAGCTTGACTTCTAAGTTAATACGAATCCTAATACAGACATGACTCAAATGTCACAAATTCATACTTTTATATTGATAAAATGATACATTTTGCTTAACTCCTATAAAGAAGCTAACACGACTAGCCTCCATGATCCCATGCTATAGCTTGACTTCTAAGTTAATACGAATACTAATACAGACATGACTCAAATGTCACAAATTCATAATTTTATATTGATAAAAGGATACATTTTGTTGTGGAAATTGCCTACGAATATTATTTTCTTGCAACATAAGCAAACACATAATATTAAGGAGAGACATTATTCAATGTCTCTCCTTAAGGAAACTTTTCCCCCCTAGTACCTAAGGTGATGGAATGATTCTTCCCATGATAGAAAGAACGTACCTTTTCCGGCGTAGCGGTACCTCAAACCTCGGAAATCATCAAACGCAGCGAATCGGCGAGAACCACACTTGACTTTTTTCCCCTTTTCTGAAAACAATGCAGAAAAAATCATTCTTTGTTTTTGGCAGAGTTTCAGTACCAAAAAAATTCATGTTAAAACCAGAGGGGTCGGTGTTTATTTATAGAGAATGAAGGGGTGCTTATTACGAAGGGAGGCAACTTTCCGTATGGATGCTTACACCCCAGCCATTGCAATGGTTCATTTTAAAATAATGAACCATTGCATCAGTTCGACCCGTGGTAGTTGGACCGATTTGGTTATTTCAACCGCCACATCGATTCAGTTCGATTCAGTTTGGTCTGGTTGGTTACACAAACCCATTTAATCGATTACCCACATCTTACAACAAATCGATCGAATTCGAGGCCATATCTTCCCACATCTTACCAACATGGTACTTCAAGAGACTCTCTTGGATCTTTCCCCTTTCATTTTTATTCACACCACTAAAAATTCCATATATCGACTATACCCACCAATCGGTAGATGTGATATCTTTGAATCGTCGGTTTTTCTTGTATACTAAGACAACATATGTCACACAACTAACTCTCATCCATTCACTGGTTCTCATTGTTGTGTTCATTTTAGCCATGAATACCGCCTAGTCTCATGAGTGCTTAGAGAACTGTCTTCTTTTATTCTCCGTAAAGCTGTTCCACTTCACACTCACATAGGTGATTTATAAACGTATATTCCAAAAATACAATATTTGATCACACACGTGTCAAACTTAGAAACCATTAAAAACCTTTCATATTTAGGTTTACCCTTATTTTGGACATTGTCTCATCATGAGAATGGACATTGAATAAGTTGACAATGTCGGACTGTCATTCACAACTTTGTTTGCTCCTTGAACCAAAAGGTTGGGTTTGTCAATCTCGCTTAGGTAGAGTTACC